GAAGCAGCCGTAAGACGTGCCGTATGTTGTTGTCGCAGTGGACTCATGACTCATCTCCACTGGTGACCGATTAGGGAAGGCTCTGCTAACGCCTTCGCAGAATAAATTTTCCCTAGGTGACCACATGGTTTCCCATCAAGACTTCATTCCTCTGCAGTCCTTTCCATCCTGATGGCGTGTGCTGGTGCATCGGCTGCGCTCAGGTATCTGCTACAATACCCTGGTAGCAACGTCCGGAGGCACTCCCAATTTAGGGTGCAAGGGGCGCTCATCAAAAATGACCGCAGGCCCAGTATGAGGTTGAAGTTCATAGCTCGTTTCGTCTTTGCCGTTGCGATTGGACCACTAGCTCAGTACCCTATCAGTAGCAGAGACTGAGTCAAACACAGCGCTGATCTTCTCTGTTGTCCTCCTTGCTACAGAGTTCATTTGAGGATCGTAAAGCATAATCATTCATTATTGTCACTGACCTATTTTTATTCCTAGTTGATTAACCCGTTACGGGCTTGCTCTTCTGAAACCACGCTGTTAAGGCTCTTGAAGCATACTTCAACATACTAACGTATTTCGCAATGAAACGGTCTTAGACGGAAGAAATTTGAAATTGAATAGAAATGAGACAGGAATTATGAGACAACCCAATATTTTCGATATGGCTGTGTCAAGTGAAACATATATCTTTCTTCCCTTTAAATTGTATTTACTTTCACTACCTTTTCTCACTGACATGTTCATCAGAATAGGAAGAAAACGAGGGATGAACCGAGCTGCCAATTCCGCTGTGCTTAAAAACTTCTGCTAAACTGGAGCATATTTGATCATACCGTGACCCGTTTACAGTTATGTTATGTTGTAATCCATAGAAGGCAAGCAAATTGGGAAGAATCCCCGCATACGCTAAAAAAGGATGACAAGGATGAGACGCGTTACTGCTTCTCAATGTCGTCAATGTGTTGAAGCACGAATTTTGTGACGTCTATTCGCTTTGCTCCATCGAGTTCGAATGCGTAAAAAAAGCGATCAGAGGATTGCTGGTTGTGTCGCTGGAAGAAAATTAATATGGAGATACCCCCTTTCTCACTCTATATAAAAAGGCAGCGATTACGATAGGTTCTAGACATTTTTGTTATAGGGACGTGAGGGTGCTTGTTGGTAAGCCAGCGGCGCAAAAGAAGAGAAATCCTCAAGAAAATACGAAAAGAGGATAGCGTTGTCTGGCTGTTGGTCTTAGCTGAAGGGTGGGCAGCGGTTATGACCGCGGACATATGGACGAGTTTACTGCAATGTGTTTGATGGCACCATGCTGAACATGCTCCCGTCGAGTTGCTTCAGTTGCTGGCAACACAGCTCGTCCAAATCACCAACTAAACTAGTGGGCGGATCGCTTTTGGGGCGGAGTGCTTTCGAAGTCCTGCTCAGCAACCAGCGCACCTTTCGTCGTGAAAGCGCCACACCTCGCTTCCTTGGCAGCAAGTCAAGTAACTGCTTCGTGTGGTGCATATGCTTCCCCGATGCGCTCCCTCTTTATCGTAATCGCTTCCTTCGAACTCATTTTATCTACTCGCTTGAATAACATATAATAAACAGTTCAGTCAAGCACTCGCCCATTTGTTGTTCTTCCTGCTTTTGTTAATATTCATTCGTTAAATATAAAAGCTTTGATCATTTTTGTAGTCACTCACTCAGAAAGCAAGTTGTGAAAAACTGCTTTGCAAAGTGAGCAGTTTTGCAGCAGCTCCTCAACTATTCTAACGTTAAAGGCAGCGATTACGATAGATTCGAGAAGGGTTCGAAGGAGACGTGATGGTGCTCAATGGTACGCAGTGGCGAAAAAAGCTGAGAAATCCGTCAAGAAAACGCAAAACGGGACCCCCTTTTTGGCCGTTGGTTTTCACTCATGAACAGGTAACAGCTCAGAAAGCGGACGTATGAACGAGTTCACCGCAACGCGTTTGGTGGCAGCATGCCAAACCACGCTCCAATCGAGTTGCTCCAGTTGTGCCGCTGCTGGCAACGCAGCTCGTCCAAATCACACTAAAAACTAAACTAGTGGGCGGATCGCTTTTGGGGGCGGAGTGCTTTCGAAGTCCTGCTCAGCAACCAGCGCACCTTTCGTCGTGAAAGCGCCACACCTCGCTTCCTTGGCAGCCAAGTAACTGATTCGTGTGGTGCATATGCTTCCCGATGCGCTCCCTCTTTATCGTAATCGCTGCCTTTAAGACTAAACAATACTTAGTCCTGCCGGCTAAACTAACGATGAATTCTTTGTTGTCACTGTTTGAGCCCGCGCTAGATGATGAATTTTCACCGAAAATTTTTCTGCTATCTCTCCGATGATACTGTCTATATGCCAAGTCCTCGAGTATACCCGAAGTGTTTCGTGTGTAGTATTCTAGCACCCTGTTGCCTTTGAACCTAATGGTTCGCGCTATGGTTTGATCCTTCTATGTCTACCTTTCGTAGACATCGTTAATGCATTACTGGCACAATTTCATTGCTGTTTTGTTGCTATGCCGTTCTTCAAAATGAACCTAAGTAAGAATATGTTTACAAAATAACTTATTTACAAACTGTTTGGTCAAAATGAAAACTCGGTGGGGTCATCCAGCTTTTATCTTAAAACTGGTCACCAGCCTTCACACTTCCGTCCAAGTCATGATGGCTTAGGGACCCATGCGAACAGCATTATGGCTATATCGTGCAAGGACATGACCGATTTCAAAACTTTCCCAGCGTGAGGATTCTACATTGTCTCAAGTGATCTGATTACTCGCCATTACGGATTTGCAGAAAACTCGTCATGATATAGTGGTGGATATCCTGTGCTGAACTCTTCACGAGATTGTAGACTATATATCAGGGTGAATATCGGTCGAGGAAATCCTCGACAGGGGGTCGTATTGTCAGGGTGGGTCATGGGGGTCGTACTCGTGGGGTCAGTAACACGTCAGTGGCATCGTGGTGCAGATAGGAGGGATAGGGTGTAGCGCAGCAGAAAACAAGGATATGAGAAAACATGATATAAAATATTCTTTGCAGGTTCAGTCGCTCCGTCCTCTACCTTCGAGAAGGAAGTATTTGAAAGTATACAAAGAATGAAAGTGCATCTTTGCAAGGAACAGGGTCACATGTGCACACGCGCTGCAAAGGCACCTCCTCTATCTATCGCCCGCTCCCTCTCCCTTAATACCTCGTTGAGAATGACACTGTTGTTAGGGACGCTGTCGCAAAAACGACAACCGTGAAGGAAAGCCCTGGGCAAATGAAGTTGTTCCTTAGGTTATAGGAGTTACGAAATGTGTTTACTACAATGCAGCTTCTGTCAACCCATCATCGCATGATGCTACCTTTG